GGCCCATGGACTGCGAGTTTGACAGCCCTGTTCTAGTCCCACAACTTGTGCTGTTCAGATTATCACTCAGATGTTAATAATGATAATTATCAGCATTATAATTTGTTAGGAATATAATCTAATGGTTGGGTTGGCAATATATAAACCATTTAACAATGTTATACCTGTTTCTTTAAAGCATACTGTAAAATGTGATTGGTTGCTGTTTTCCTCAATCGGCCATAAGAGGTAAGAGGGAGCCAGAACGACTGTTAATTCTCTCTCTGTTTCGTTAGATGCTGGGCTGATTTGATCTGAGTGTTTTGGGAACTGGCTGTTAGAAAGCTATTGTAAGTTTTGCAACTGCTAGCAAACTTTGAGTACCGGACTGTTTGTATGATTATGGACTATGTTATTTGGATTATCCCTTAACTGAAAGACATTGATGACTGACTGTCTTATCCGTGCATGACTTGGACTGTTTGATGGACTTGATACCTCTATTTCCACGAAAGTAAAAGCCAATTTAAACTGCAGTGTCTCTGTATGCTGGTTTGTGTGTTCTCCAACACAACTTTCACAACGCTTCTCTGAACGTACTCGCTCTCCCAATGGGGAGCTTACCTAACAATGCTTTTTTATTATTTTCTAGAGCACCAGGCATCTCAAAAGCAGAGTATTGACATAATGTACGCAGAGTTATAGGGAGACATGAAGATGGCTGGTGTGTTATGCTTGATAAGTAAAGGCAATCTAAACACTTGCATCTCATTTTTCTGAATAACTGAAAGAAGCTGTGTCTTCATAAATTTGGGGTGCAGTGGTTCTAGTTACAGTAATCTTTGCTTACAAACCACTTGTTCAGCCACCAAAGTTTTAATGCTGCTGAAAAAAAATATGCTCATCTTATGACCATTTAAAGACTTTGCAGCATTCCTCGGTCAAATAATCGCCATTACGGTCAGTAAGCCTTGTCCTGTGCCTGACCTATAGTTTCCCACTCCCTTGTGAAGCTCAGTGGATAGAAAGGGATTACAAGAGGGTAAGATGTTTGCTCTTCTACATAGTGAAAACAATTATTTTGCCAGCAACATGATTGCACGGGGGGAGGGTAGATCAAGTAAAGAACAGATTAGTTACAGAAACTGCTTGTCCTCCCCCCCCCTCCCCACATATTGGAGAAAGGAATTTCAAGAGAGTGGACTGTAATGCACCCACAGCTCCCAGACATGGTCTGCCAGTGCAGTCTGATTGCTTTCAATGTTTACAAAGCAGTAAGGAGGCACTCAAAGTTTCTAAAGGGTTTAGGTTTATTAGATTTATATGCCACCCTTCTCCCAAGGACTCAGGGCGGCGTAGAACATTAAAAGAAACACATAATACAAAAGTTAAATAAATAAATAAATAGAATATCCCAAACAAAATCAATAAGAATTGACAATAACATTCGAATTAAAATTAACAATGATCAATAATTTATTTTGTTTTGTTCAGGCCAGGCNCAACAATTTCCAGCCAAATCAGTTGAGTTTTAAATTCAGTTCTTATTTTCAGACCCAACCAAGACGTAGCAAGTGGAGTTGTCACCTATTGTCAGGTAGCTTGGTAGAATCTGGAGCTGAGTTGAGGACAGCAGTGAAGATGTTGTGGGTGTTCCATCACTGGAGGCTTTAAAAAAGAGACTTGGCAGTGATTTATCTGTACTGTATAGGGTTTCCTGCTTGAAGAGGGGGTTAGACTAGAAGGCCTCCTTCCAACTCTATTATTCTATGTTCTAAGTGCTAGTGAGCCTTTTCTATCCTCCTCTTGACACAACTCCAGATTTTCCCACACATAGTGGTCAAACTTCAGTGTTTCAAATAATATTAATGTACTGTAATTTGTCATTTTTATTTTTATTTTCTAATCTATGATTGTAATAACAGATTTAAATTTTCTTGACTGATTATTTTGAGCCAACATAATGAGTCTTTGGAACAATCACAGAAGAGATAGCAAAGAGAGAAAAATTGAAGTCCTGCAGAAAGCATGGCAAAATACTAACTAACCCTACAACTCAACCTTCAACAATAGCTAAGAAAAAAAGTTGAGTTTTATGCTAAACTACTTCTATTATACACCAAGCAAATCGTAGTAAGAAGAGCTGTGATCTATTGCTGGCTGACAGTGAAAACACATGTATGATTGTAATAAAAGATTTTGATTTAGTTGTATTACCTTGAGCCAGTCTATTGAGTTGTCGAAAAAACAGAAGACGGGGGGATAAAAGTGTATTTAATTGAATTCCTGCAGAAAGGTATGCAACTTGTATCTACTATTAATTACAAAACAGTTTTTCTCTTTTACTCCATCATAAACTACCTGTGGAATTTTGTAGACATTTATACTTTCTGCCATAAAGCATGATGTATCAGGACCTAATCCTCCAATGATGGCCATGAGATTCTTCTGGCTATCACATTTGTAGTTGGGGACAAATTCCTGGGATTTGAAAAGCAGGTCTAGAGTGGTACGATAGGTCATCCTTGGGTTGTTGTAACTGTCATAGATATGGAACCCGAGAGTGATGTTAGGTAAGATCTGGGAGTCCTCATTGATCTCCTTCACAGCAAAGGCCAAGGCGAGGACGTGCTGGTAGAAAGTATAATTG